TATACATCTATAATAGGTAAATTTCATTTCATTCATTAGGTTGCAGCTGATTGGTTAATGTTATGATATTCATTAAAAGTCAGTTTAGTTTCTTAGATTTTTAAATGTTTGTTTATGATGTGCATTAGGATACCAAATGGTAGAAAATCATTAGCTTTGTTAGAGACCTCTGTCATTATATATTCTTTTACATCATGTCATTATTGTCTTGTTCAATGTGCTGAAGCAGCATTCTATAAGTAGAGCCGGTTTGAATCTTGAGGGAAGGTGACAAACATGGTTATTATTTATTAACTCAAGCAAGAGGGAAATGAAAATATTATTGCTCCACGCACAAATCAATTTTGGAAATGCAATTTTCATGGTACAAATGACATATTATAATTAGCACAAAAAATGAAATAGTGGAAGTAGGAAATGAAAATGAAAAATAATTTGCGTGTGAATTGTTCATTGTTTCTAGAATTTCTATTTTAATCTCTTGAAATTCTATTTTTTATGTTGTGGATAACAAGTGGAATTAGAAATTTTGATTAGAGATAATAGGTATTTTGGAAAAAGAAATTCAATTTCACTTTCAAAGGAGGTAAATGACTAAATTGCAAATAAATATAGCCTTATAAAATTTAAAAGTCGAGCAAAATTTCATTAAATGTGAAGAAAGTGAATAATAATACTTATTTTAGTTTGTATTATCCATTTGTGTTTTTTTTGTAACAAGTCATATAATATTTAATTATTCACAAAAATTTGTATGGCATAAAGTGAATAATAATACTTATTTTAGTTTGTATTATCCATTTGTGTTTTTTTTGTAACAAGTCATATAATATTTAATTATTCACAAAAATTTATATGGCATAATAGATATGGATTCGCACTAGTTTTTAGCTCTTTTTTATGGGGATTATGATGACGTATTGAATAATGTTGCCAATTACATTAATTATGGTAATTCTTCTATAAATGATGGAGATTGCAATGGTAATCACAGTTCTGATACTGACGATGATGATGACGATTTAGATGAAAAAGATGAGTTATTTTAGAAAAAAAAAGTCCGATAATCAAAAAATGATTTTATGCACGGCAGGTGCCATAACTTTATATTATAATACTTATATATATAAGGAGCCTTGTATGGATTTGTACAACACTGGAATGCAATAGTTGAAAAAAACATTACATGGACATTAGACGCGCCATGTAAACATGTTTAGGATGGATGCGACAACATTTTAGAGCTGTGCTTTAAACTTGAAAACCAATATGAGTTAAAGGCATCTAGAAGAATGTGTGTTTTTGAAAAAGTTAGAATATTTCTTTATACAATAACTTTGGATGCCTCCAATAGAGAAGTTCAGTAGAGATTCCAACATTTAGGATACAAATTAGTAGGTATTTTAATGAGATTTTTAGATTAATTTATTCACTCGCTATAGATTTAATTCAACCTGCAGATCCCGGATTCATAAACACACCGAAGGAAATTGTTAACAATCCGAGGTAAATGCCACATTTCAAGGTAATGTTATTAATCGTATTTGTTAATTGTGATTCGTATTTCATGAATTTATGAAATTTATTTTTTTTAGTCCGCTCAAATTGATGTTATTTTGCCGGTTTATCGTATATTAGAATTGTGTAGGAGCTATCAACGGTGCACATGTGTTTCTTTTGAAAATCAAATTTCGTATATCAGTGGAAAGGTGTGCCAACCCAGAATGTTATGGTTGTATGTAGCTTTGACATACAATTCACATTTGTTTGAGCGGCTTGGGAAGGTAGTGCACATGATACACAAATTTTTCTCAAGGTAATTGACAATCTAAGTATAAAATTTCCTAAGCCACTGGAAGGCAGTAATATATGTATGTATGTGTATATATATGATAATTAATGTTATTTGATTTTTTTTGTTTTTTGCAATTTTCAGTATAAAACAATTATACGTTTTTCCAAGGAAATACTACTTGGTTGATTCGAGATATCCTAATGAATATGGATTTTTAGGTTTATGTAGAGGTCAGAGATATCATTTGCAAGAATTTAGGAGGCGAGGACAACCACAAATTGTGAAAAAATTTTCAACCGTATGCACTCTTCATTACGTTGTGTGATAGAACAAACATTTAGAGTTTGGAAAAAAAGATAGTGAATCCTACAAAATATGTCATCCTATAATTACAAAGCACAAGTTCAAATTGTTTTCGCATCCATGACAATTGATGATTACATTAAAAGAACTTCAATACAAAATGTGGCATTTATGGAGTTCGATCGCTATCCTGATTTTGTGTTCAATGATTTTCTAACTGATGTGGCTCCACATTCACAAAGCCAAGGACACCAAAAGCTTTCGCGAATGGGTTACGTATGTGATAAAATTGTTGTAAGTTTAATGACATAATTATAAATTATTGCTCTAATATGTTTAGGTCTATTTGCAAAAAATTATTGGTTGTAATGTTACTTCATTAATATTATGAATTAAGTACTTTTATGTAATTATACAATAAAATGAATTTGAACCACAGTTTTAACAAAATATATATTTTTTCAAATTAACCTTAATTAAAAATATTTTTTATAAAATTATTTTTTTCAAATCACAACTATTACAATACCAAACACATTTTTAGAAGGGGAAAAATGTAATTAAAGTGTTGCCATTATAGTTTTTTTAGTCTATATGCATAGTATTCTCTATAGTAGTTTGGTAACATGTTTTTTTGTTTCTATTAATTAAAAAAATTATTAAAATTAACTCGTTTGAATCTCATTTAGGTTTGATAAAGCTAATCATATCATGAGTAAATTGATATGTTGATTTGACCAAAAAAAAAAAAAACTCCAACCCAAATTACATTTTGAGTCAAGAAGTCCCCCATTAATATATGCGTGAGGGATCAATTTTTTTAATTTGATTCTTTTATAGTATTATTTTCTTGTGGGGCTCTTTATTTTTGTGGAATTAGTCATAACCCCTTCAATTCTTTGTAATTTTCTGTTTGTTGTCCGAGTTGTTGTGACTCTTCTCAATTCTACACCGATGATTTGCCGGTGCTTTTTGCATAAGATCACATCAAAATGGAGTCATTCGTTTTAATTTTTGCAGATTCCTTGGAATTCTATTAGTTATTTTGGTGCTCTGCAATGTTTTGTGGAGCAATGCAAGAGGTTGGCCATATCACTTGATAGTGTGATTTGGCTTACTGTTATATATCAGGCAGTCAATAACTATGGTGGTGGATATACTGCTCCATTGCCACCAGGCTGGGAGAAACGATCTGATGCAGCAACAGGGAAAACGGCACGTATTATATTGATCACAACACTAGAACTACAACCTGGAATCATCCATGTCCAGATAAACCTTGAAAGAGATTTGACATGGCATATGACGAGCTCAAGTGATCAACAATTTTATCTCCTCGATCTCCGCTGGCACTTTATACTGGTTCAAAAGCTATGCATAGCCAAATTCTAAACATATTCAATGAAGAAGCAGGGAAATCTGAACAGTTTTCTGTAGCTCAGAATCTTCAAATCACTCTACAGAGAAGATATAAAAATGTACTGGTAAAGATAGCTCTCGTCAGAAGCAGCTGGAAATGTTTCTTGGGACGGGACTTCTCCAGCATCATCCATCAGTTCCAGTTCAACCTCTAAATGTATGTTTTGTATTCTCTGTATCAGCTATTTATTCTGGGATTCCTTCACACAACCCATGTTTTCTTTTGTAGATTCTTTGCTCCTGTCAAAGCAGCAATACCAGTTTCACTAGGACCATAAAGTCACTTGTTGGTTAGCTCTATTCCTCATGCCTGCTCTCTTCCTCATGCCTGCTCTCTTCCTCATTATCTTGTTTTCTTTTCCCCTGTTGTTTTACATTTTCCTCTGATAATTTCCTCCTACCAAATAGACTAGGATTCTAATTAAAAAGCGTTGGCTTCTGAATGGAGCAACTGTGAAGTTGTCAAGAGGCCTTGATAAATTCTGTAAGAACACAGCAATTCTTTGTTTTTCTGTAGATCTCAATTTTTCCCATTTGGTTGGGATCTCTACCCTCCACACCC